TTTATCTTTATCACCACCGATTACGCTAATATAAACTTTAAGCAAAATGCTTATCAACTTACTCTGTTCTAGCTCGTCTACATTTATATGAGCAATGGCTTTCTCGAAGGAAAACCAGTAAAAATGATATTTTTTTCATAGAATCCTTGCGGCTGAGTGTTAAAGAAGGCATCTTTGATGCAAATAAAAAACAACACAAACAACAGACACTCACAATGGAACAGAATCACGAAGGCAAACTATGCAGGCTCCCTTGTGCGCACTGTTATACCCTTATCATGGCCACCGGTTGATTCGAACATGGGCGCAAATCGATTGGGTGCGACGGAGTGGAAGGAACAGCGGGTTAGAAGTTTATCCTTGAGGTCAACAGGGATAGGAATATCCTTTGAAAAGCACGAACAAAAGGAAGAAGGAGCAGGACGCGTGGGAAGTCAGTGTCACTTCATAAGAGTCTTTCTGAGAGTTAATGTTTTGCCGTTTCGAAGGACGAACTGGATAGAACTCCAAGAATTCACAGCTTGTCACTGTAGTATATACCGCTCATAATTAATCAACCAAACATTGCACTGCACCGGAGTTCACCGAAATCTTTCGTCGCATTGGCATACCTTGGTTCGAAGTGGATGAATTTGATATCCAAGGCATCGTTTGATTTACAATTAGCTGTGCATTTTCTGATATATAGAAGTGCCCGCTCGGATGCGGTAGGTACACGAGCCATCAGATTCCATGGATCTTTCTAGAATTTTGCTTACGAGGCCACTCAGTGTGCTTTTTATTGCATTATCAACCTACTGCATGCAAAAATCTATGAAATCTTGCATCCTGTCGTATTGAGGCACTTCTAATCCGAAGATGCACCTCGCCGAGTGAGTTTAACGACGCCCTTGGATTTCAACATTTACTCTGGCGATGCGACGCGGATTTCGGTAACTAAGGCGAAGTGCGGCGACTTTTTGACTAGTTATGAGCGGTATTGTGCATGCTTAACATTCCGTAAATGTGCTTGAAAACTTGATATGACCATTCTTCACCTCAAATGAATACTAGCGCGGTAGCTCAAAACCGCTGTACCACTCGGTGACCGATGCAATGTTTGCGAAATGAATTAGGATTTGTGCGCGGCACTGTCTTGCTGTAAAGCTAGAATAGGTGCTGATCGATTCCTACTTTAACTTCGCGAATTCATCAGTTGGCTTTCTGAGCCTCCCATGACCGAGGTGACTGTGATTGCAATCAATGCTGAACCTTGATCGTGTCATAGTAATGCTAATTTCAGCTTCTGTCGACCGTAGTACCAGCTCATGTCGTGTGTCGCGAAGCTCTAGTACGTTTACGCAATAAACTGTTCCAGCGTCGAAACCTATGCAAAATTACTAAATTTGTGCCAATTATCACTTGGTTGCCAAAATATGACTGGACTCAGTCATTTTTTGGCGATCTATCAGGAGGGCTCACTATGGCTGTGTTCTCGGTGCCACAAGGTAAGCATAACCAGATAATTGCATCATTTCGAAAAGAGCTTCGTAGGCATCGCGCTTGCTGGAATCACTGGTGTTCCTCCCGTTTATGGTCTGTACACAGCTATATTCCCTTCATTTCTCTACATCTTTTTCGGGACATCGAAACATAATGCGCTTGGCAAGTTCCATCCCTACTAACAGAATTCACTTGTCTTTGAAGAAACATAGATTGTTTTGATTTCAGGAGGCTTCGCTGTGCTCTCGCTAATGACCCACACAGCTATTCAGAAGGTGATGATGAAAACAGCAATTAGTTATAACAGCACATCGTATGTTAATCATACCCTCACTGGTTTTGTGATAGATAATGGAACTATGTAAGCCAATTTAGCTTTCAATCTTCTATTTTACGATGGTGCCTGACTTAAACAGAAGTGCCAACTCATACTTCTCTCAGATTTTTTTCCTTCATGCTATTTCAGAACTATGGTTGTGAATTTTAGCTATAATAATGAAACTGCAATGGTCGAAGAGGTGACTACCGAGATGTGGACCGACGGTGTGAGCCCCGTCAAAGAGATTCATGTTGCCACAACCATAATTTTTTTTGCCGGCTGCATTCAAGTAAGACACTAGGGTACTGCGTAACCGTCCTAACGAATCCCGTTCAGGTGCTTATGGGTGTTTTCCGCTTGCAGTACCTCACAACAGTTTTTTCGGAGCAAGTTATGTCAGGTTTCGTTGTCGGAGGAGGTATACATGTATTTTTTGCACAAATTGGTGATACTCTCGGAATGAAATTGCCAAGAAGGAGTGGGCCGGGCTATTTATACTATGTAGGCTTTTGCGTTGTTATAAGGTAGGCTGTATATGTACATGCTCATTAATTCAGAGAATATGGGACCTGATTGGAAATATACATAACATACACTGGCCGACATTGTCCATCTCGCTGTCATCGCTGGCTTTCCTTGTATTAGGAAAAGAGTTTATTTCTCCTTGGCTTAGCACGGCTTTCAACTTTCCAGTACCCTTCGACTTGGTTTTGGTAAGTCCCAATACGTGCTTTAATGCTTGAGTAGTACTCAGAGGATGAGATTAACCTCTACTGTACTGGTATAGAACAGGTAAATGACCGTGTTATTTCTTAGAACAGTTTTTAGCAGATATAAAACTGCCAGCCTGCAGAAGGAGGTGGATTGCCATAGCGTTATCTGTCGAAATAGTGTTACCTCAACTTTCTCATTATAACACAGAATACCGATGCTCCAAGAGCTAGCTTTATAGGATGTCAAATATCATCAAAAGACGTTCCCAAACAGATCCTACGCGGACTTTCAGAGCATTTTCAATTCAGGCTGTAGTCGGCATAACTGCCACGAACTACGCAGAATTATCGAGAAGACACAACATCAAGGTTCTAGGAAACATCCCAACTGAGTCAGTAGCCTTTTACAAGCACATATCCCCTCCCCTTTTTGGTTTTTACTATCACTGCTGCAATTCCAGGTTCCCACCACCAAGTCTACCACGATTTGATCTCATTCAATACATTGGGGTGAATGTAGTGGCTATAGCCTTGACTGCTGTCGCCATACATTTGACTGTGGCAAAGATTGTTGAAAAAAGATACAAATATAAGATCAACCATGGACAGGTGGCTTGCGAAATTTTCTTAACAAAGCATTCGTCAGTTTCCTTTTCAGGAGCTGTATGCTCTTGGCTTTGTCAGCGTTCTATCGTCCTTCTTTCCGGTGTTTCCAGTAACTTCAGGGTTTGCACGAAGTGTTGTAGGAGCTGCCGTGGGTGGAAGTACACAGGTGCATTCTCTGTAGCAGTTAAGACTGATTAGAAAATTTGCTTGCAGCTTACCTGTCTCTTTTCGTCGCTTGCACTTGTTTTGGTTATTTTGTACATCGGCCCAGCCTTAGAATACCTTCCCCAGTGCATTCTGTCGACCATGATTATTGTATCACAAAAGGTCATATTTGCAAAATTTGCAGAACTGCGAGAACTATGGCCTGTGTTCAAAGTGGACTTCGTAAGTGCCCGAAAAAGTGTAAATCGATGAGTAAACTTTATATCTAGACAATATGGATTATGAGCATGATTCTAACAGTGTGCTTCGATATGGGTGAGGGACTTCTTCTTGCCACCGGTTTTGCAGTATCAACAACCATCATCCGAATGCAGAAGTTTGTGCTCCAGCCAATTTCAAATACGGTATAATGGTAAAACGCCCAAACTGTGACTATGCTTGCATTGGTTGCTGAGTTAGAACTAAGCAGTCAGCTTTTCCCGACGCTACTAAGTATTGTTGTTTGT